TGTAGTCCCAGCTACTTGGGAGGCTGAGGCAAGAGAATTGCTTAAGCCCAAAAGTTTGAGGTTGCTATGAGCTGTGACGTTACAGCACTCTACTGAGGGTGATATATATAGTGAGGCTCTGTAACAAAAAAACAAATTATAATTTTATCAAAAACATCCAATGGGACCGGGTAATGTGGCTCATGCCAGTAATCCTAGCCATTTTAGGAGGCCGAGGCAGATGGACTTGCTTGAGCTCAGGAGTTTGAGGCTTTGTCTCTTCTGGGGAGAAAAAAAAATTGAAAAAACTGAAAAACATGTAGTGTCAGCTACTTGGGAGACAGGGGCAAGAGGACTGCTTGAGCCCAAGAGTTTGAGGTTGCTGTGAGCTACACTACCAGGACACTCTACTCAGGGTGACAGAGTGAGACTTTGTCTCAAAATACAAAAAGAAACAAACAAAAAACCCCACCAATGTCTATAGTTTTAATGCCACACATATAGTAATAAAATCACATTTCAGCTTTTGCATTTAAAGCCTCACCTCAAATTTACTGGATTTTTATTTGTTTTCAGTTATCAAAGCACATAATCAGTGTCAAGCATTAGCAGACTGTGGGATTAATGTGTGTAACACAGAACTCTTGTCATTTTAGGAATGCAATAAAATAATATACTGTATTGCAATTATCTCAAAATTTGTATTTTTTAGTATGCTTTTCTTAATTAATGGCTTCAAGGAACACCAACACAAAAAAAAAAGTGAGTTTAGATTGAGCTTTGAAAACTGTGTATTTCATTTGCCTCTAAATGTCTACAAACCACCAAACTTCAGATATTTAAGAATTCTATAGGAGTGGTGGTTTATTAGCTACCTCAGAATGCTTTAATATGTATGCTACCTAAATTTGTCACACAATTTTTAAAGTGAGCCATCTGTTTAAAACAGAATACACAATAAAGAAAATCTCTCAGCAATGGTCTTTCCACTCTGCACATACCACCTTCTTGTTGTTTCTATACTGTCTGAATACCTTATAAGGAGGGATGCATTACCACAGTAAAAGTTAAGAAAGACTTTTGTAAAGGTTAATAATAGAGGCAATGATCATGTATTGTACTATGGCAATGGTCAAGTAAATGACACAAACCGGCTCATAAACATAAGAAGTTTTGGGCAGCACCTGTGGCTCAAAAGGGTGGGGTGCGGGCCCCATTTGCTGGAGGTGGTGGGTTCAAACCCAGCCCAGGCCAAAAAAAAAAAAAAACACATAAGAAGTTTTGCTAGCTAAAAAAAGGTGTAGGGAACCATTGCCTTTCAAAAACTAGAGCAAATAAAAACACATTAAAAACAAATTTTCTTGTTTTTCCCACTTTGTACATCCCCTACTCTCTAGCCACCGAGTAAGTCAACAGGATGGATCCTAGAAGACCCAGACATCATCCCACATGTCCCTGCACTATTCCAGCTTTTGCTTTGCCAGCAAAGCTCACCAACCATTTACTTGTTCAACAAACGAATTGCCCTCCTGATACCCTTTATATTGCAGTCCTTTCTTCCATTTTTTTCCTCAAGCTCACAAGAGTTTTTATACTGGCTATCTAAAATCTTTTCTTTAGATCTATATCTAACGTCCTTGGTTACCTGGTTCTCACAACACGTCAGAAATAGGACATTTAGTATTGCCTGTATTAATATAAATTTCATGGCTTCTTTCCTTGCTGGAATCTAGAGTATTGTATCAAAAATGAATAAATGGAATTAAAACAGTTGCCTTGGGCAGTGCCTGTGGCTCAGTGGCTAGGGCGCTGGCCCCATATACCGATAGTGGTGGGTTCAAACCCAGCCCTGGCCAAATTGCAACAAAAAAATAGCTGGGTGTTGTGGTGGGTGCCTGTAGTCCCAGCTACTTGGGAGGCTGAGGCAAGAGAATCGCCTAAACCCAAGAGTTGGAGGTTGCTGTGAGCTGTGTGACACCATAGCATTCTACTTAGAGCGATAAAGTGAGACACTGTCTCTACCAAAAAAAAAAAAAAGAAGAAGAAGAAAAGAAAAGGTTGCCTTAAAAAACATTTCTCAAACTTATAATGTAAATGTTCTTAAATGCTTTAATCTTGCACTAGAGTACAAGATTAGTACTAGTTTTAAAATTTTTTGTTCCTTTCTATGATGGGATCTTTACAGATATTAGCATTCGTTTTTTATATTAAAAGCAACAAAATTACATTTACATAAATAGCAACAAAAACTGAAGAAGCTACTGTGTAACAATGAGCTTTCTGGAAAATATACTTCTACAACATAGTATATTCCCTTGGAAACAGAGAAACCACAAAAATATTTAAGAATTTATACAAATACAGGTAAAGCATTGCCTTGTGTGTGTGTAAAGTGTCCAAAGAGTTATACAAGTCACAGAACATAAGTATTTCAGAGGAGCTGGGGAAAAGCCACTAACATTAATAAACACACAGATATTCCCTCCCCCTCCAAAATCCTTTAAGTTTCAATAATTCTGAAACTATTGTATTATAAACCGATAAAGTTACTGTGCACCAACATTTATTATCACAAAGAACCAATGTTAAATAAGCATTTTACATAAATTGTCTGAAATCATTAAACATACAACCCTATTTTAACTTTTATCCTTCAACTCCCTAGTATGTACTATGCCATAAAGAAGTTGGTTCTGTTAGAAATATTAGTCCACAGGCTGTTGTTAATTACTTCTGACGACACTGAAAAGCCTGTGCCTTTAAGAATTTATCACACAGCATACATCTATGTCTACTGAAATATCCTGAAATCAAATAATTCTGTGTCACAATTCCCAAAAGGTTAGGAACTTTCCCATATTTCTTAAAGATGTAGAAAACCTTACAAGATTAAATCATATAGGTAAAACATTAACAGTATATCCTCACACAAAGGTATCCATTGTCTAAATAATCGATTCCATTTATTGACCATCAACTAAGTACGTACCGTTTAATCCTCACACAAGGCAGGTATTATCCCTAAGGCACAGAAGATGAAACTAAGAGTTATTTGCCCAAGGTCACAGCAAGTTAGAGCTACAGATGAAATTCAGGTCTATTTAACAATACCAAGGCCCTTGATCTCTACCCAAATAAAATCAACTATTTTTAAAATGGAGATGGGCAGAAAGTTGCTGGTGTAAACTTAGCATTGTGACAATCTTAATGGCATATTCCAGAACATAACCAGTAAATTTACACTCATGATATTTTTAGATTCTTGGCATAAAGTTGTATTGACTTTAACGATTTCTTTTTGTAGTCACAAATACAGAACAAATAATAACGCAAGCCTTTAAAGTGTTTAAAACTTGAACTGCCGAAGGTATTTAAAGTTTTTTATGTCCCCCCCCCCACCCGCACACACCCTGAAATGCTACTACTTGGGGGAGTTGTGGGACACTGCAAGGTTCCAACTCCTACAATTTCTAGACTTCCAACACAGAGAACCCGTTAAATCCGGAGATGAGTCTGAGCCTGGATTTGGAGGGCTCTTAATGCAAAAAAAGTGTTCGCCACCAAAGAGGCCTCAAACCACATTCTATGCACTTTGGGTATGGGTTTGGTGGCGGGAGGACAGTAGCAGAACGATTCAAGATACACGCAAATAAAAGAGTTAACAAATTCTCGAGAGAAGGCGGCAAAGAATTCATTTTTACCCCCACTCACCTCACACTCGGCGGCAGACGAAACCTAATACTTTTTAAGGCTCATCATCTCGGGTTACCAACTCTTAGACCTCAGCGCCTAACCAGGTCCACACAGTAGTGGCGACGCCTCCGCCTCCCTCCCCCACCTGTGCAACCACACAGAGAAGCCAGGCTGCACCGCCGAGGCTAAACCGACCTCCCCTCCCCCTCCGGCCCCTCTACCACGAGCTCCCAGACCCAGGCCTCCAGTGCCCCGCAGGCGTATACTCCAGCCATCTGCTACCAGCCCTTCGGCGTCCGGCCACTGTTTCTCCGTTCTCCTACCACAAAGCCCACAGCCCACCCAGGACGATTCGGGTCCGCTGCACGGCGGCGGGCCGGCACTTGGGCCCGCGCTCCGCGCTCGCTGCGCCCTCCAGGTGCTCTGGGGGCGGCCACCACGGAGCGCACCACCAGGCCTAACTCCGCAGCCCGCGCGCAGCTGCCCCCCGCCTGAGCCCGCCGGGCCCCTCGCGCTCCTCGCGGCCGCCCCCACCCCGCCTCGGGCCCCGCGCTCCCAGCCGCTCATACCGTCTCCTCTGGGTCGATGTCTATCTTGAAGGTCTGCTGCTGGAGGGTCTTCAGCGTGACCTGCATGGTGCCGCCGCGCAGCTCCGCTGCCGGGCCTGCGCCGGGTGGTGGCCGCTGGGCGGGGTCTGTGGCCTGGCGGGGCCCGGGGTCGCCCGCGTTCCTCGCGCTCTGGGGAGGATGGCGGTGGGGGTGGGGGCTTGTCACATTCGCCCAGCGGTGCGGCCTGTCCGCCAGCCTGGGCCCCGGGCCGCGCCGCTTTCTCCGCGACTGCGGCCTTCCCCGAGAGCTCGGGCCGCCGTGCTGCTTCTCGCGCCGGGTGCCGGCCACTGAATCTGCAGGAGGAGCGAGGGACGTTGCGAGGCAAGGAAAGAATCCGCTAGCTCACCACAGGATGGTAGCCGCCATCATCGTGACTCGCCGAGATGTGCCCCCTCCCCCACCCGAAAAACGTGGGGGAAGGGGCCGAGCTGACGAAACGCGCAGGCGTAGGGCGCGGGCGAGGCCGTGCGCAAGCGCAGCCTAGAGCTCTGCCCCGGAACTGGGGGCGGGACGGATTACGCCTCTGGAATGCCGGCGGCCTGGATCTGGCGTGCGCAGGCGCATGCTGCGAGCGTGGAGGGCTCTGGGGCTTCCTGGTGGAGACTCCAGCAGGGGCGTTCTCCCTGAGTCTCAGCTCCGCCTAGGTCCCGACTCCGCCTGGCTGCCACAGTTGCGCAATCCGTAGCTGGGGAAGCACTACGTGGATTTTCGACCAAGTGGTAGCCGAGTCCGGGAGCAGGGGAGTTAGAGGGCGGTAGGTGGGGTGGAGTTTCAGGGAAAGTTGATGGTGGTAACCACAGTAGTCGGCCTACAGTTACGGGGCGCTCGCTGCGGGGCTCAGCCTTCGTGTTGTTGGCTGATTATTTAATTTGAGAGGGTGGTCTTCCAGCGCCGGGCTGTCTGGCTTCAAATTTGTCTGCCGTCAGTAGCCTTGGGACGTTGGGCCCAAACAGGAGGACTAATTTAAACTGAAGGTCAAGTCATCTCACGACTCTGGGCAGGAATGTCCGATGGTTCCCCTCACACAGAGTGAAAATTGGAGTTCTTTAATCTGGACGCATCAGCCCCTAGCTTCTCACCTCATCGCCTTCCTCTTCCCCCGGTGTGCGGTTGTTGGTGGATGTTAGGTATGTGCTCCTGCCTAAGGACCTTCGGTTACACTTGCTGTTTCTGCAACCTCTCCTTTAAATTTTTGCTCAATGTCACCTTTTCCTTGAGGTTTACTGTGGCTTCCCTACTTACAATCTCGGTTTATCTAGCGCTGTTATCCTACTCTACTTATTTCTATAGCCGTTATCCCTTTCTAATTACCATATAACGTACATATTTGTTACGTTTATTTAATCTCTCCCTTTCCTCTAAGCCCCAGACTGAAGTTACACTAAGGCAAAGATTTTGTTTTGTTCGCTGATCATTCCCCAGTACGTAAAAAACATGCTTGGCACACTGCAGACACACAATAAATATTTGTGGCATGGGTGAATGTGCTTCTGGTTCCTCTGCTATAAATCAGGAATTGTAATGGCATTCAGCTTAGTGATTACAGGAGGTGGGAGCAGAAAAATGTATGTAAAATCTTAGGAGCAGAAACATAATCCATAGTCCATAAGTGGTTTAGTTATTAGTAGTATGTCCATTTGCGGATGAGAAAACTGAAGTGTGAATATGTTGAGTGATGTAGACATTCTAGAGTGTCTGAATAACAGCTGGGGCAGAAGGACTCCAGAGCCTGTTTCTAAGTGCCTAGCTATTCTGCCTCTAAATAGGGTGCCTGGGGGCACATTGACTTAAAGTGGTTTAAGTATAAAGCAGTTACTTGAGTTTCAAGTCAAAGCTAAGAGAAAAAAAAAGTTATCAAACTACTAGCTCTGTAACAGTTACAAATTGTATATCTGGGCCATCATCCTCACTAATACAAAGTCACTGCTTGGTTTTCCATGGATCCTAGGAGCTCAGGTATAATTCTTACATGAAACTCCCTGGTCAACCTCCTCCCTCTGCATTGACCTGGTATCTCCCCCTTTACAGCACATATCTCCCTGCATTATAATTAAGTACATAATTCCTATATATCTACAGGAAGTATATCTTCCTGTATATCTACCCTTAATCATTACCAGGGGATCTCATCTTGGCCCTCATTTTGAAATACCTCCAGCTTGGACCCTGCCCCTTACCTGTGGATAGAGTTAGCCAATTGCCTAAGCAATGTCTTCACTTAATAGGCCTCTGAAACTTAACATGGCCCAATAGAAAAACTGATTTCCTTCTGGAACTCCCTCCCCTCTGCAACTGTTCCTCTCAGTTTTCTTCATCCTAATTCATGGCCTCACAATCTACCCAGGTGCTCAGGCCAAAAATCTAGTCTTCACGCCTATTAAGTCTCTTTCTTTCCTAACCCCACCACCATATCTAATCAATTATCAAGTCTTGTGAACTACATTCTCCAAATTTTTCACCATTTCTATTTATACAGTTGATAGAGTCAAATAGAGCTGACCTGCACAAATAGAATGTCCCACCCAGGAAAGAGGGAATGTGCCAATTCCTACCCTTCCAACCCTTTAAATTCCCATCTACCTTAACCCTGACTTCCTTCTCAAACTCAGCTCACCTGCACCCAGGTGGTATGAATAAAAGCCACTATTGCTCACACAGAACCTGGACTCCATTTCCTTTCATTCGTGTTTTGGAATAATCTTTTATTTTCAGTCTTTGATCTTTCAACAATCATAGATTAATCCATTATTATCTTTCACCTGCTTCCCAACTGGTCTCTTCAACTTCCACCCTTTGTCCTGAGCAGTGAGAGAGGTCTTTTTAAACCACAAATCAGAGTGTGTTACATCTATGCTCAATACCTGTTTGAATATAATTCAAACTCTTTACACGGTCATATGATCTGACTCCTGCCAAATTCTGACTTCATCTTGTCTTCCTTCTCTTTCTCATTCACTGTCATCCCTCTGCAGCAGCCATTCTTTCATCCCTCAAACAAGCTAAACTGGTCCTAGCCCCAGGGCTTTTGTACTTGAGGTTCCTTTAGCTTGAAATTCTTGTCTTTCCAGATCTGGTTTTTGTTTTGTTCTGTTTTGTTTTTTGAGACAGAGTTTTACTTTGTTACCCTCGGTAGAGTGTCAGTGCTGTGGCATCATAGCATCTCTTGGGCTCAAATGATCCTCTTTTTCTCAGTCTCCCAAGTAGCTGGGACTATAGGCCCTGCCACAATACCCAGCTATTTTTAGAGATGAGTCTGACTTGTTCTTGCTCAGACTGGTCTCTGAACTCCTGCGCTCAGGCAAACCACCCACCTCAGCCTCCCAGAGTGCTATAGGATTGATTATAGGTATGAGTTACTGGATCTGCCTCAGATCTTTGAATGCCAAATTCCTTTTTACCTTCAGGTTCCAACTCAAATTTTACTTCCTTAGAAAAAAGGACTTCCTCCAAAAACTTAACAATATGTAGTAAACATTTTTAACATTTTCTCTAGAAAATGCTTACTTTTCTCTAGAAAACGCTTACTTTTTGGGGAAAGGTACTATCTTATTCATGACCATAGCATATGTTGACTGACTTCCAACTCAGTTGTAAGCTCTGTGTTTCTAAGTATTGTGTCAGTCTAATTCATCTTATTTTCAGAATCTAGCACTGTTTAGATGCCCTATGTATATTGTCTGGAAACACTGTAAAGTCACTTTAGTTAAAGTTTACAACAGTTGTAAGAAAATATGATAATGTTTAGGCTCGGCGCCTATAGCTCAACCGGCTAAGG